TAACAAAGAAAGTCAGTAGTAGTAGGTATGTTTTCCTGCTTTACTCTTCCAGTGCGGGTGCTGTTTGCCGTACCCTGTTCTATGGAGCCTGCAGTGCGTTGTCTATCTCCGTTTCGATGACATCAGTCAGGAATATCTTTTCTTGGCAGTATCTACAGCTACGTTGCTGTTATCGCATGTAGTCGCCTGTTTCGTTTCTAGACGAGTTACCCGTTTATGCATATCAGGTGAAAGGGGAGTGATTCAGCTGTGATTCGAACCGACGACGGTATGACTGCCAGTATGGTGCTGTACGGACTAGGCAACTCACACCTAATTGCGAGTGGTCGACGAACATTCTATATATTTCTATGCTGCGCCTTCCTTATGACGCGTATTTAAGGCGCAAAATAAATAAGATGAAAAATTAATTGCCTTATCCTCGTGCATCGGCGCCACGTATGGATCACGAATACGCATCATTCCGGTTCAGACGGCACTGATTTGCAGTCGTAGTGTGCGTCGTTGACTACGGATATCATAGGTTCTGCTCATAAATTGTCAGACTGTGTTTTAAACGAGCGAAGCGTCTTCGCTGTCATCAAAGCACAGTGCTCGTCACACGACTCACACGACTTCTCAGATGCATCTCGTAGGGAACTTCATTCATCCCTTGATGACTGGTGAGCGATGAGAATCTGGACGTTCTTATTCCGAAATTCGATCATCTGTTAAACGATGACGGCAACGTATCCGTCCGCGACCCGCAACTCGCACTTGATCAATCGAACGAAACTGATGAGCCGCTTAACAGCTGGGGAGCAAGCGGGACCAATAGCATTTGACGATGCGCGCCCGCAACGTAATGCGGTTACGCGCCTCACAATCTACATGTCTTGAGGTAAGAACATTGACTGTGCTTCCAGTTTCCTTTTCTACACTTCAAATGATTATGCTGAGAGTGCGCATCCACTCGACGCCGTTTATACTCAATTATGCTGTGCAAACAGCGTCGGGCACACGTGTTCTATGTGGATCTGTGTGTGTGTGTGTGTTTGTGCTTCAGTTTGATGCTTCTTCCTTGCGCATCGCCAGCGAACACTGCATTTTGTTTTCAGTTTTATTCTGAATAAACTAGTCATTTGTAACTGCGTTCGGTACCTTGTTCAGTGATGATGTGTCCTTGTATGAGTTTCACAATGAAAGGTTTTGCGTTTAGACCAAGTGACCAATTCGGGGATGCGAGACGAGTCGAATTACGACATTCCGACGGGACCATACCGCACGGATGCTTCAGTAATCGCCAGTGTTATGGCAACAACGGGACCGGCGTCAGAAGTCGTGACGACGGCAACAACGGCGGCGACCAGCTGCGGCAAAACGACGTTCGCCGTCGCATATTGCGACGCACAGCGCTGGTGCTCATCGGTCGCTTTTCCGGTCAGGAACTGCAAACTCAGTCTGTACACGACGCAGTCGATGGCAAAGAGTCAGCCAC